AAATCCATGCTGAATAATTTCCTGTAATACTGAAACAACCGAAGAGTTGTGAAACTCGAATGTCGTTCACCCTGATTGACAACGAAAGAAAGATTCAGTTCATAAATTTTGAGCTGAAGACTTAGGGGTTATGTGGAGTACATTTCACCATTACAAAACAAAAGGTCCAATTGAGATAGATACGAAGATTGAGAAATCAACCGAAGATAATCTGAAAATGATGAAACATCATACTTGATGATATAATGTATTGTTTTATTTACGTTAACGATTATTTATGTAGTTTTTTAGTTTTTATGTATGTCATAACAATTATCGATGTTAATGTATCACTATTTTTACATTTGTTTCCTTTCTGCATTTGTTCCTAGTTCAATGGTTGTGATTTTTCATTGACAACTATCCATTTGTTCAATGGTTATAATTAACATCGATAATTGCATTTGTTTACTTTCTGCATCAAGTTTGTGTAGTTCAATGCATATTTGTGATTTTTCATTTTATTTTATGATTTTTCATTAAACATATAAATTTAAAATAAAAAAACAACTACGCAAACAAAAAAACAACCAAATAAAATAAAAAATCACAAATACATATGATAAACCAGCCAATAATTAAGCAGTGGAAAATTAAAAAAAAGCAAAGCAAAAAATGTTCACCCTTACTAGGAGAATACATGTTAGATCTCAGCTCACATGAAACCATCATCAATATAAACATAGCCCTCAAGGAAAAGCACCGATAACACTCCACCATAAAAACAATGTCAAATATTTTCAAACATCTATTGATTCAGATAAAGGATAGGGATTTCAAGTCAAGTAGAGAAATCACAATAGTTGATCACATACCTTCCAAGATACTATTTTCAAGTCAAGAAAATGTTTTTTTCTTCCACACCTTCACATTAGTTGATGAACTAGAAAAATTGATATCATTATGAGATTTTCAAATCAACCATACTACAAAATGTCAAATCATAGAAAGTCCACCCTTAACCTTAGACATACCATGCTAAGAGAGATAAATAACTCAAAGAGAGACCTAAAATCCTTAGGAAGTTGACAAAAAGCCATCACTTTAGAAGGGGTTTAGCTTACCCCAAATGAAAGAAATGTTCAAGTTCACATAATGGGAAGATAATGCATCATGGATATTTAGCTTTAGTTTAGTAGAAAAAGTATAGGCTATCGAGAATACTTCATCCCTAACATCCTACTGCCACCACCTATCAGTATCTACGTAGTGTCATTCCTTGGATAACTAAAAGTAGGTTAGCAATCATATCATGTTCATAAACAAAAAAGATATCTTCCATCTAAGATCCAAACTAGAACAATATCCTCCCATAAATCCACCTCACCGCTGACCAATTTTGTTGACCAATGATACTAAAGAGTCTAGAGAATTTAATCTTGAGGGAGGGGACCCAACCCCACAGGTCAACTCAGAAATAAGTGTGAAGGTCATATCACATTCTCTTACAGTCTTACTAATATTATCTACAAATAAACTAGAGAAGTCGTCTACATTGAATCTAAAAAGATATATTCATTTCCATTAACTGAGCACATAACAAAAACTAGAGGAAATGACATGAACTTCATATCTAGCATATAGAACATCACGCTAAAGATAAAAAAAACACCTGAAATCGACCTCCGCCTCCATTTATCTAAAAGACCCAAATTAACCAAACAGAGATCCCTAACACTCATCCTACATTGATACCTACTATAGTATGAAAGGGTATCAATCGCCATATAAGTTTGAAAGATATCATAATCCAAATTTTAGAATCAACGGTCAAACAGAAGGCATGTACGAAATATTCAGCCATGCAGATTCTTCTTTATGAAAATGTCATTCAACAAATAATTGGTGTTTAGAAGAAAAAGTAGCATATATTATATGATACAAGACCATTTTCACTGATCAAACAACAAAAAATCATAATTGCAACAATAGCTCTACATAACTTTATTCGAATGTGGCATTGAAGATGAGAATTTTAACAAATGTAATCTCATTCCTGAATACATGATTAGTTACATAGAAGAAAGAAATACTAATGAAAATTTGAGTTTGTATAGCTCAAAAACAGTACAAGACGGGGGCTATATGGGTTTGTTTACCCTTACTAAATTGTCTTTACAAAAGTATCGTAAGCAGAGCACAAATATTAAAGAAAGATAATTTCTTATATCACCATATGTATTTTTACCGCACCATGTAAAATTCCACAAATGCTCCTTGATTTCGGAGATATCTCTTCAGAGGAACCCAAAGTTCAGTGAAGTTGAAATATTCCGGAGCTATATCTCCGAAACATTTTGGAGGATAAGTCGCGTCAGACTCTTCTCCTTCCTCATCTCTCACTATTACTCAAACTTAACTCTTCTCCTTCTCAATACACCTCAACTTCACCAAATCAATTTTTATCAAGCAAGGCTCAAAATAAATCAAAGAACACCAAGCATCATCTATAACATCATTCAATATTATCAAAACCATAAATTTCAAGTTTTTCGAGTTTTCGGTAAATATTTTAGTTTAATTGTAAATGTGTAGAAATCAATAATTAGGGTTAGAAATGTGTAAGAATCACATGTAACATAGTTTAGACTTAGTGTATGACTTTTTTGTTGGCTCAAAATGGCGATCATATCATGTTTTTCAACTTGTAAGAGGTATATTTCGCCATTGACGCGACCTTTGTGTTGCACAACATTTCGGAGATGCATCTTCGAAATTGTTCAGTTTTTCATATATTTTGGAAAATTCCAAAGATAAATCTCCAGAACTCTTCAAAGTTATTATTTTTATGGTGTTTCCGGAGATGCATTTTTGAAATTGTTCAACGTTATTGTTTTATGGTGTTTCCGGAAATGCATCTCCAGAATTTCCTGCAATATGTTCTTTTTAATTTTTTGTTTGTGTTTTGTTTGTGTGCACTAATGATATGTCTTACTTTACCTTACAGCCATAATGGCTTACAGAGTCGACAAACTAAGACATGACAGGGTTGCTCGACACGCATCCATTCGGCGGGAGCGGAGCCAGCAGGTTCTAGAGGCATACTTTCTTTTTTTGGTTGGCACTTGCATTTTTGTGGACACGATTGTCACTTATACTGACGTTGCATACCTCTGGTACTTTTTAGATCACTCGGATCCATTAGTACAACTAGGGGCGGCTTGTCTGACCTGTCTTTATTCGAAGTTAAGATAGTGATGTCGGTGGAAGACGAAGCAAGTCACGGGCAACGTGACACTACTGGTTGTAATAATTTTTGATCCTTGAATGATTTTTTTCATTTTGATTTCATATTTGCGAAACCATTGCTAATAATTCTTGATCCTTGAGTTTTTTTTAATTTTTATTTCAGGCTTGGATCCTCCAACACTTACCGCGCGTTGCTGGCTGGGCCAGTGTGCCCGAGTACATTGAGAACATGTCTCATGCATGTGCTTTTATCCCACTCAGAGGGAACCAGGCGGTCAAGTCTTTTTGAGTATATCTTGATCGTTTGATTGCTGAGGACATGCACTTTAACAGCTATGTGGATCACCGTCAAACGCGGCCATTTGACAAGATCGTGTTATACTCTGGATGGTTGACCTGCGGATCGCGTATCATTGTTCCTCATCTGTCCGAGCGCGTCAAGCGGCAGTTCGGGTACACCCAGACCATCCTCAAACACCCTGTTGTATATGTTCCTCCTACCTTGTCTCGTAGACAAATAGATGAGATGTTTGTTGATTATTATAGTCATCTGGTACCAGACGAGGCACGAGCTACCATATCACCGAACAACTTGAGCTACGTCGAGGGGTACATGGTTCTTCAGGGTGTCACATCCGTACATGGTGCAAATTGCTCCAGGAGATCCGCCGAGACCAGCACATCAGGAGATACTAGAGAAGGAGCAGGCTCAGCTAGATCATAAATGTCTTGCCTAGGTGTCATCGTATAGTGGAAATTGTGCGGGCAGGCATTGACGAGGGTATCTTTCCTGATGGGTCTGCTGTTAGGCGAGTCCTGGATGTCATCATGGTGGAGGCACAAGGGACACTGTTGTACCAAAGATATCGTCGGAGGACGGGGACTGATGACAGAGCGGACAGAGGAGGTAAAGAAAATGTTGTCAGACACACACAATAGTAGTCTGTTATTATTTTGTTGTATTACTATTTTCTACTTTATTTTTACAGTTTTATTACATTTTGGATCTCGATTGTACGACATTTTCTACATAAATTGTTATATCATTTTCAACACATCAAGTATTAATCTCTTATTAATTTGTATGTCTATCTTTTTATTCACGATCGTGCTTCATACTTCATATAAAAACGAATACACAACTTATAACAAAAAACTTGTTTTGATACACTTTAGAGATATATCTCTAAAATATTTCCCGAGATACATCTTCAAAACAATTCAAATATTAATGATTTCTGAGTGATATGTTCTGAATGTTTAAAATGATTTCGAAGATGTATCTCCAAAATATGTAACATTTATTTAAAAATAAGTGCATCTAAAAATGTATCTTCAAAATCAGAAGGCATATGTAAAAATTCATATGATACATTAAAAAACATCTAGAGTGCAATAAGAAATTCTCTAAAGAAATTGCGTGACATCTTGAAAAGTTGGAACGCTAGATTGCATGAGCAAAAAAATCATTGCATAAATACATGAGCAATTATTATGAGTTAGATTGAAGTTGCCAAATTCATGGGTTCTATAGGAGTTGTTTGAAAATAAATCACAATAGTGTACAACATACAAAAATATGTATATACACAATAAAATTTATCAGCTTTTTTAATAACATTAATAATTCATGAAGAAATCACTAAATAGTAGGTCTCATATACATAAAGATGAATTCAAATAGCCACAATAAAATGTGCAACTCTTCATCTGTGATGATGGAAAATATTCAACCAACATTGATTTATTGACCTCGAACTTTTACAAAAAGGTTAAAGATGGAAGTTGTCTATCATATGGTAAACCACATCAGCACCATCTGAATTCAACCAGTACGTTTTCACCTGAGAAACCACACAAAAAATTAAAACATAACAAGGAACATCAATCTAAAACATACTCTTTGAAGCATTTTGACACTAGAGTTTCGCAAAAACAGCCTATTAGAAACCTGCAAGTTTAATGTCTTCCTCTCCAAACAACAAATGTGAGGGAAGATTCAGAGCAAGTAAAAAACAACATATCATATGCAAAGCCAAAAACTGGTTTAATATCAAGAAAAAATATCCAAAAGCCAAAAACTGGTTTAATATCAAGAAAAAATATCCAAATCTCAAAATATATATTACAACTTCAGTTCAATGTATCGTCGCCCAGAAATTGCCAAATTCTATTTTTGGCATGAAAAATGATATTTTGACACCACTTTAGATGTCTAACACCCTGTATGTATACGTTGTAGATACAATTTTAATTTTTAATTAGTTTTTTCTCTTTCATCCCATCAAATCAATAGTTATAAGTAATGTATTTTTATTCGATGTCAAATTTTGGATGTTCAAATAACACTATTCTATTGGCATGTAACAGAAGGGAGCAGAAGCTACTGTCAATAGAGTGCACAATCCCCTCAAACACAGCAATGAGCAAAAGTGAAATTTCCATGTGCTATTTCGAATAGTTTTTTATTCAGAGTATTACTAGATCGCAATACTTAATAGGCTTTAGCAATTTCAATAGAGCATTCAAGAATAATCATCATCACTGTCACAAATTTATTTTATGAAATCACTATTTTCCAGGTAGTGCATGAACAAACCCCACAAGCATAGCGTAGGATTTTAAATTTCAATAAAGCATTCTAATACGGTAATACCCCATATATTTATTTTTGTGTGAGTAATCTAACCCAGACTTATCTCCTTGTCGCACAGAATATAATAATTTATCTCATAAACCTAACTTAACTTTTGGGAAAAATGTTTCCCAACCCCAGGCATGAGTTTGTGTGTTGAGATATGATTGATTTGTATACCATTAGAATTGATTGTATATGATTTATCCTCTTTAATCAAGAAAATCTCGTTGCACAATACACTATAGAATTAAGGTTTGCAAACTCACTTTTTTAAATTCACCACGACGGATAGAAAACCCACTTTTGGATATATGTAACCATTGGACATAACTTGATTTTTTATAAAATCAGAAACTGAATGTTGCCACAAATAATAAGCAGAAAAACATGAAGAAAGCATTTGGAAAGACTGCATCAAATGGAAATCACAGAAATTTTGTAATAAAGATTTAAGATACAACATAGCATACCTGAATTGTACTGTGAGCAACATATCGTTGTTTACTTGTCTGAAAGCTAACATCCACGCGCTCCCAAGATACCTTAGTAAGACCCCTTATCATCTTTTCTACATTAAGGAAGAATTAAAATATCATAAAAATAAGAACTTTATAGTAATCTAAGAATCAAAAGAATCAGCTACTGAATAGTTTGTTCGAAACAATTCATTACATATCAGTGATGCAACTATTGTTGTTAACAGATCCCAATCCCTTTTAACATTATTTCTGAAAATTAGAACTTCTTAATTAGTGCCAGCTAATGTATTTGCATAGATTTAATTAGAGAATACCAAGTGACATATCTAATTTTAACATATACTCCACTCATCCAATTGAGATGGAGAAAAAAGGACAAAATTGAAAATATGTTTGTTGTTCTTTTAAAATTGAAAATTTTCAACTTTGGTCCATATATAAAATCTATTCTGCTTAATAAAATAAAAGAAAATTGTTACATGCTTTAAATATTTTTTCATGCTTATCAATAAAATTTGCAAAAGGTCAAAAAACATACAGGAAATCAAAAACAAAGAATAGAAGATTGCTCTTCTTTTATTTTTTTAATTCTTGAAGATCTAGACATTTGTACAATTATCAATAATTAAGAATAAAGCATATAGACCCTCAAGACATGGATCCAAATGAAGTAGTTATGCTCCTAGGTATTCAGTACAGTCTCATTTGTGCAGGAGCAGTACAGAAAAACAACACAAATCATTTAATGGAATTAATATGCATCATAAAATAAGGAAAGAACCTTCTAAGTCAGCTGTTTGGCCTCCAACATTTGAAGACTCTGTATTGTAAATGCCGTTGGTGTTATCTCCTTCAACATAAACAATGTGTGGGTATTTTTCATCATTTACAATAAGATTGGACTAGCACAAAAGAAAACAGAATTTAGTCTCTGAAGGCAAGGTGAACTATTAAGGTATTAGATTGGACTAGCACAATACCTTTGGAAGTTCATGTTGACGGCGAATCGATGAGGTACGCCATCCAACCATCTCTTCAAGCAAAGTCAAGAATCATCATGCATAAAAGTATTTCCTTATTTGAAAATTTCATAGCAACTTTGTGCCAATTTATACTTGAAAAATTATCAATTTATTTTAAGCCAAGGTGACATGGTTTCTAGCTGTCTATAAACTCTTTACAAAGCACATAAAACTGCCTCTTCATACTCAAATATGTAGTTGACTCTAGATTCATAAATCTTAAGCTTTTGTATCATCAAAGATGGGTAATTATTCAATATCTAAATTAAAAAAGGATACGATCATAATTCGCATTTGCATATGCCACCCGACGCTTGAATGCATGTAAAGCTGACCTACATCATCACAAACAATTACAGTGGCAATATTACAGAAATGGATTAAATGATCTGTTGAAATTAACTGATACATTAGTACTAACATAAATTTTAAATCGTCTGAATCATCAACCATCCGCAGGAGTAGAGGAGGTTTTCCACCATCACTGTCCATGAGGAAGAGATGCTTCCCAGATCTCCCGGCAACTAAGTGTGCAGTTTGAGATGCTCTTCTCTCAAGAAAAGGAAGACCGCAGAGTAAGGGAAGCTAAAACAAACAACCAATGGAGAAAAGCAATGAGAAATTTTACTGCAACTTCAATATATGTACTAGAATATAGTGTTATAATATAAATAGGTTTAGTTATAAGTTTTATAGTATTAAGTAATTTAAAGAGATTATGATGACTGCAGATCTGTGAATTTATTGTTTTAATTTTATATAAGGTAGCCTACTAAGTAGTTGAGACACATTAATTCCATCATATACCTCCTTTTTCTCATTTCATTTTCTCTTAACATGGTATCTAAAGCTTAATCATGAAACAATCCTAATCCATGAGAGCACAGCAGAACTATGGCCTTCAAGTATAATTGTAATTTGCTGAAAATTGTGTTTCACCTCTGGTTTCCAGCCTCCCTACTGTGTATATCTTTCTCAGAACTTAAAACTCATTTTTCGGTTCACAATTCCCTGCAATCATCTGTCACCTTCCAAACCAGCAACCACTGGATCTGAAGCGCCTTGTCAAGCCTAACCCATCATCACTAATGTTGTCTCCATTGGACCCCACTAACTCACTGTTTTGTCTCCATTTGCCTTAAGTTTATTTAAGTATCAGTCATATTGTGTCTACATTGGAGGGAATGGATTCTCTCAAGTGTGATTTACACTTGAGAGAGTAAAGCGCAGGAAAATGTTCCTTTTTAAACATAACCAACTTTCACGAACTGTGGGAAAATTAAACAACGGTGATACTGGCCTAGACATTGTCCTTATCCTAAAACAACCAACTTGTGTTTGGAACATGTTAAGTTAACAGTTCTGTGACTGCTTCCAGCAGCACAGCCATGGTGATGATCAGACGACAAAGCTACCAAAACATCCTTAAGTTGGACAATTCATTTGTTACCCATGCTGATGACTCAACTTAGATGTTTGTTGCTCTAAGGGACTAAGGGAGACTATTGAATGTTTGCTAAGACCAGTGACTAGATAGTATGCCATTAGATACCAAATTAGGAAAAGGAAAAAAAGGACAAGTTAAAAGTGACCTAGACATATGACATATGATCAACGAACAACTTGGATCTGACAGCAAGACAAACATACGGTCATTTGGCTTGAGAGAAGAAAGAAATAGCCCACAAAGATGCGCAAAATCCAGAAAAACAAGCATAAGACTAAATGTTAATCACTGTTTATAGGTGTAGAAGACACCTAAACATAAATATATAGGGAAATAAGGAAACAGTTCATAATAGCTAAAAAATATTTTTTTTTAAAACTAGTCCTAGTAGATAATCTAAGATATTCTACTATTACAAATTGATCTTACTAGATAAACTAAGATATTCGAGCATAATATAATACTGTATAACAGATTTTCTAATATTCTAACAATATCTAATGGACAAGGATACAAGTGTATCGAAAACAAATTCAAAATAAAAATATCATTCTGAAGTTGCACCTAAAGAGTATAAAATGATTGTCAGAAATTCCACGCCAAAGGCTATGACCAAACCTAACCATTTCCCTAATTGCAGTGAGTTTCGACTTAAATGCAATCCATGTGTACGTTTCTTCTTAAAAAATTGAAATGACTAAGTTTTTTTGTTCAACAATTTTAAGTAATTAAGTGACAACCTCAACCAAATTTTGAGCTACTGTTCAAATGAAAATACCTGTTTATTTCCTCTTGAACCGAGGTGAGGTGTTGCGAATGTTATAAAGTTCATTGGCTCTAAACCAGCAATTTTGGCTTCATAACTCTGTTTAAGACACTGCTTTGAATACTCTGTGTTCTCTTCATTGAAACAGTTTCTGGTGGTACCAACACGTTCTAATTTTGAAGAATTATCATAAAGTCTCCCAATTGCATATCTTGCAACCAAGCCTCCTAAAGAATGTGCGACAAAGGATATCTTCTGCACCTCTGGCCATCGTCTAGCAACCAATAGTACCTGGTCAAATAAGAAATAAAACTGAATATTTAGATGCAAGTGACTAATGGCAAAACCAACATTATAAATGAGATTTTAGGGAAGTATGAAAATTTAAGATGAGCAAAGAAAAAAAGGTCATATTATTATTACCAAAGTACCTCTTCAGCTAGCCTCTCACCCATGGTGTCAACACCATCAAACGTCAATCTTGAAGAATTGCATTCACTGCCTGTCCATAAATTGTTGAATAAAATGCAACGGATGATTTTATATTTTGAGAATTACTAAATCACAACAAAAAAAAAATTTGTTGATAAATGTATGTGATCAGTCACATTTCTGTTTGTGAAATGTGTTTTATATCATCTACGTGACACAGAAAGATAGAGAGAGTTCAGCCAAACAACAAACTACCCATTTGTAATCCAACAACTGACACGCAGATCACAAACCCAACCAAAAAACTTGACATTTCAGTGATATGGTGCATTTCAAATTCTACTAAGGCATCAACAATACTCTGATGCACAGGAAATGTAGCAGCTATATTTATGAAGGAATTGGGAATGCTTACGGTGCACAATAACTTTATCTGGAAGCCTCTTCACAAATTGCTCAGCAGCATATCTCCAATCAGAAGCACTGAAAAAACAAAGCATGTTTCGGTCACGGTAACCATAGCCCCCACATATAATCTATATTGAAATATGTAATAAACTTCATAGGACAAAAGAGAAACCGATTCTAGAACTATATTCTAAACAATGATACAAGTAACAAAAGCTACTACAGTTATTCCTAATTCCAATATTCCGAAAAAGGAAGGCGAATTTACACGATCACGAAACCCTAAAATGCATTAAAACCATTCCATTACCTTCCAGTTATACCATTAACCATGATAATAAGGTGATTCGGAGCTCGTTTATCCGTGGCATCAGCGTTGAAGATCTCTTCACCGCCGATTTCGGCGTCAACCTTAAGACGAGGGCTACTGAAGTAACCGGTTCGGCGGAGCAGTTGCATTTTGATAGAATTGAGGGAAAGAGTGGGACCCGCGGAGAAGCTGGGTCTCGATCGTGTTACTCGTGAATCGAAGCAGCAAGTGCTGGTGGAGGTGAACAGTGATCGGGTCGGGTTGCGAACGGGTATTCGGAGCGCGACGGTGGGGTCCGCGGCGAGCATGAAAGAGTTGATTTTTTAAAATTAAGGCAACAGTGATGTTTAATGTTTATGAAGAGATGAAATTCTGAAGAGATGGATAGTTTGAAGTTGAAGGGAGTTGAGCGATCATGAGTTTGCAATGAGAATCAATTTGTCAAAATCTGAAACAAAGTCAAAGTATTACTATCCCCGTTTTTCCAATACGCACGTGGAGAAATATAAAATAAAAATTGTTTTATTTTAATTTTAATTTTAATCTATCATATAAGAATGATCTGGAAAAGACCGCGGTGTCCTTTTTGATCATATATGTTGTGAAGTGTTCTTTTTCAAGTTTGTCTTTTTTGCCTCAAGCCTCTACTTGTCGTGTTTTTTTTTCATTCCTCGTCTATTTCTCTTTCTTCTTTTCTAGTTTACAACTTCTCTCTCATTTCTCTTTCTTCTTCTTTTCTCTATCTGCTCTTCTTCTACTTGGATCGCCGTTTTCGTATTCGTCAGTGTTCTTCTTACCTTCATCTTCACTTTCTTCTCACCACATGGATTCTTCATTTTTAGTATATTTTTTTCTCTCTTCTATCTTCCCTTTAAGAATTTTTTCATCATCTTCTCACTTTGCTCTGAACCTTGTACTTTATCTTCATTCTTTCAACTTTCTTCATCATTTTCTCTCTGAATCTATCCTCTCTTCTCATTTTGGTGGCACATCTAAGTTTTCACGATGTGACCTAAGTCGGAGCTGAAATGCAAACGACAATAGTTGCATTTTTTGATGAATGATTCAGAGACGGTGTTAGTTGTCGATGGTTGTTGGTGATTATTTTGAAACAAGATCAGATTCAACCTTCTTCTTTTTATTTGATCTGTTAATATGTTTGAGATTTGATGGATTTAGAGACTTTTCATCAAGAATGATATTTGGTGTTACTTGAAAAAGTTGTTGTTTTTAATGTCTGATGTTATTTATATGTGCAGATTTTTTACATGCATTTATTATATATAGAGATTTTAGGGTTTCTGATATTGTTTCCATCGGCAATATTGGTTAAATATTATTTATTGCAATATGTTGCTTTTGATTTCGGAAAATAGTTCAATGCTAATTATTGTTGATATGAATCAGAGAAGTAAAGCTGAAGTACAAGAATTTGAAGGAAATGATAAAGGACTACGACAAAAAGCAGGCGAAATTTTATGGAAATATGTTCAGCTTGACAAAGGCTTGATCTTGATAGAAATTTTTGTATGTCATTATATTTCAAGTATGTTTCTTTTATAATTAATTGTCAAATTATTACCCTTTACTCCTGATCTTTTTAGGTGGAGTTAATTCAAAAAATGTGTTTGCTTTTTGACATTTCTGTTAAATATGCAGAAAGTTGCTATCAATGCTACGGAATTGTGGATGTTAACAACAGAATCTGATTATCTTGAGTATCTTTTTGATCGTATCTGATCAGAAGGAGTCATTGGCCGACCATGCGTCTAAGTTGTTGGACTGCTGGGATAATGTAGGGGGAGTGTACCTGAAACACACTCTGATGTCAAAGTAAGGGTCGAGCAGAGTGACAACAAGTACAGAGAGAGAAGTAAGAATGAGATTACCTAACCCTCAAGACTTGCCCAGAAATAAAAAGAGAATACCTTCTGCTGAGGTCAACTGGAAATCTTCTGTCAAGACTTGCCAAGAAATGAAAAGAGAATACCTTCTGTCGAGGTCAACTGGAAATCTTCTGCTGAGATTCGCCAAGATATTAAAAGAGTATGCCTTCTGTCAAGGTCAACTAGAAATCTTCTGTCGAGATTTGCAAGGAAATGAAAAGAAAATACCTTCTGCCAAAATTCACTAGAAATCTTCTGCCGAGACTTGCCAGGAAATCAAAAGAAAATACCTACTGTCGAGGTCTAGTGGAAATCTTCTGCCGAGACTTCCCAGAAAACTAAAATAAAATACCTACTGTCAAGGTCTACTGGAAATCTTTTGTCGAGACTTGCCAGAAAATTAAAAGGAAACACCTGCTGCCGAGGTTTACTGAATAGAAGTAACTACTGATCACAGGGTAACTGACCAAAAAGAAAGGTGTATTACTTACTATCAAACATATGATAGCATACACAAATGTAACAAACCTGAAAGGAAATATCACCTACTATCAAACATATGATAGCCTAAGCAAAGGCGTCTAACTCAAATGGAAATATTACCTACTACCAAGTATATGGTAGCCTAAGCAAAGGTATCTGACCAAAAATAAGCTTCCATGATCAAAATATGATTCAGCTTCTTCTTTAACTAAATGATCCATTTAAAAAAGGTAAATAAACTTCCCCACACTTTGGGTTGTAGGATACGAACGAGTCTCAATTTCTTCTTATCAAGTCTTCCACTTGAAAAGGTTAAAAATAAACCTCTCATCGCCTCAGGTTATAAGTCATGGATTGGTCTCAGTTTCTTATTTTACTTGAAAAGGGTAAAAATAAACCTCCCTACGCTTCAGGTCACAAGCCACAAACGGGTCTTAGTTTCTTCTTTGTTCAAGGTCTTTCACTTGAAAAGGGTAAAAATAAACCTCCTCGTGCTTCGGTCACAAGCCATGAACGAGTCTCAGTTTCTTCTTTTACCTGAAAAGGCTAAAAATAAACCTCCCCACGCCTTGGGTCATAAGCCACAAACGGGTCTCAGTGTCTTCTTGTCAAGTCTTCCACTTGAAAAGTTTAAAAATAAACCTCCCTCCGCCTAGGGTCATAAGCCACAGGCTGGTCTCAGTTTCTTCTTTTACTTAAAAAAGGTAAAATAAACCCCCCACGCTTCGGGTCACAAGTCACGAACAAGTCTCAGTTTCTTCTTTGATCAAGGTCTTTCACTTGAAAAGGGTAAAAATAAATCTCCCCACGCTTTGAGTCACAATTTCTTCTTTTACTTGAAAAGGGTAAAAATAAACCTCCCCACGACTCGGGTCACAAGCCACGAATGGCTCTCAGTTTCTTCTTTGGTCAAGGTCTTTCACTTGAAAAGGGTAAAAATAAACCTCCCCACGCTTTGGGTCACAAGCCACAAACGATTCTCAATTTCTCCTTTTAAACTTTCTTCGAGGTTGTATGCCACGAGCATGTTTTTTGAAATAAAATGTTATGAGGTTATATGTGTCGCTTCCGCGAAAATAAGGTGTCGGCAAAACAAAAGAGTCACCACCTTTCGTTATTTATCCCTCAGAACGGGAAAGGAGACGATCGGAAAAACCTGACGAAAAGGTATAAGACAAGGTCATCGCAACCGTTGTCTGGGTTTGGGAGTCGGTTACGCAAGGGGAAGGTATTAGCACCCCTCACGTCCGTCATACTCGACGGGATCCACGCTTGTTGTGTTACTGGACGAGTTGGTTTATCTATCTACCTATCAAGGCTGGTCTGAAAAGAAAAGAAAATGACTCGGCAAAGCGTCGCACTTTATGCCTATGTATTCTCATTAGAGAATGAGAAATCAGAGTCAACGTAGTTCGGCTAACTACGGGTTACGGGGAAGGTGGCTCGCCAATACGTCAGTATTGTGCCTACGTACTCTCAACAGGTATGAGAGATTAGAGCTTACGTAGTTCGGGATAATACGGCTCACGGGGATTCAGATTCATCTATTTTATCGAGTAGGGTTAAACAAACAGTTCCAGCAGTTGGATGTACGCAGCTCGACCCTTGGAGACTTAGGCGTTACCGTTTGCAGTAGAACTGGGAGTTAACGACACTCTTTTCTTCAGAAAAGCTTCCTTTGAGTTACGGGCCCACGGGGCAAAAAGTTTTAAGTTCGTTTTCTGTCTTTTACGAAAGAACTGTTTTTTATTGTGTTTGCAACTAGTATCGCACTAGAGACTATGACCTGAGAGTGAATGTGTCGCATGTCACCCAAAGGGTGCCATACTAAACATCCAGACTGTTGAAAAGAAACTCTCTAACAATCCTTTCTCAGATAGCTTAAGGCTCGTAACGTACGACGTCAGTTAACCTTTACTATTGTATTTTTATTTGTTTTGAGAAGAGAATAGAAGGGGCTCAACTAAAGGGAGACTATCAAGTCCTAACGTTGTCATGCCAAGGATTCATCCTATAGTTGAAGTTTGAAACAGGGATCTCTTAGAAGTTATCATGCATAGGTTTCAACCTAAAGTTCTAATCGTCACTTCCTTATCAAAGGAAGTGAGATTCCTAGGGGATCATGTCAATGATAAACAGAAACAGATAAAGCATCAGCTTAAACAGTAAACAGATATACAACAAACGACTGTAAAATGCATGCAATGCAAGTGAGGGAGGAAATGTGTGTGGGGCATCAGCCTCCACAAGCTCATCTCAACCTCAAGCCAGATATGAGTAACTGCAATCATACAGAAGAAATAACATGCCATCAAGCAACATAGACTGCAATCATACAGAGGAAATAAAATAAAATGCCATCAGGCAAACACAAACCACATGGGCAAGGGAGCTGGGCTCTATCGAATACCCGCAAGCAAAGCCATACAGTAACAATACAAGCAGAGGGAGCAACTCAACCTCTAGTGCAATCATGCTCCTAGCTTAAAGTCAGTCTAGGTATGAACTTATTCTAATGCATCAAGCAAGTCAAACAAGGCACATCAGCACAGAGAAGAAAACAGACAAGAAAGGAAACAGATCAACAACCCTCTTTCAATTCCAAGCTTCAGCTCTTCTGACAGCAATCCAGTCTTCAGACTTCAACCACCCTTCAAGGCTATTATCCTCCATGACAAGTATAAACTTGCTTCTCCAAGGTTTCAACCCATCAAACATAAGTATCAACTTGTTCTCTCTTCTCCAAGCTTCAGCTCTTCAGTCAATTCCACCTTCAGGCTTCACTCCTAACTACCAGTATCAAATTGATTCCTTCAGGCTCTCCAAGCATCAATGTAAGTGGCAACTTATCCTTTATTCCTCAAGCCTCAGCTCTTCACTCAATCTCAATTGAATCCTCTTCATAAGTATCAACTTGGTCTTTTGGCTTCAGCTCTCTT